CCTCCGGAGCCGGCTGCTGGGAGGGGTCTGCCGCTGCGGTGACGCTGAGGGCCCAGGCTAGCGCGCCGCTGCTCGAGGTCTGTGAACACAGCAGCGTCCCCAGGTGAGTGTGCGCTTCCCACGCCCTCGCCTCTTCCGGGACAGGCAGAACGTAGACCTGGCGCAGTTATTAAAGACCCCATCGTCGCAATTTGCAGGGATGTTTTCACACTGTGTCCGGTGGTACTAACGAGTATTCCAAGCAGAGTGTATGCGTGTGTGAGGGTGTGCTGTTCGTGTTGTATGTTGTGTGTGTATGTGGCATGTATGTGGTATGTGTGTTGTGTGTGTGTTGTATGTTGTGTGTATTCTATATGTTGCATGTGATGTGCATTGTGTATTGTATTACATATATTGTGTGTTTTGCCTGTTGTATGCATGTTGTGTGTGTGTTGTGTGTGGCATGTATGGAGAGGTCCAGAGTCAAATAATTGTGGTCCCTGGACTTAAAAAGTTGAAAATGTGTCTTTCCTTCCTCTAAGAAATATGTCATGTTTCCCAAACTTGCTTCATCACAGCACCCTCCTAAAGCCTGTGGGACCCCAGCCCCCGCCCCACAGGCCAGCGTGGGGAGGAGGCCGTGTGGGCGTGGGCCGGCGGTGGCGGGAACAGGCGTGGGCTGTGCTCGCAGCGCGGGTCTGCAGACCCGTCCCCGCCTGCCGCAGAGCCGGGAGGTCCGGCCGCCGCGCTGGAGTGTCATCCAGAGGCCAGACGCAGAATTAAGAACGCTTTCTTCTCGACAGAGTTCTTTTGGAGCTCCCTCAAACTTCTTGTCTCCTGCCTTTTGCAGGCTTGGAGATGCCAACAGCAGCAAACTGATTAAGAAAAGTGTGTGGGCCGGGCGCGGTGGCTCACACCTATAATCCAGCACTCTGGGAGGCCGAGGCGGGAGGATCCCTTGAGGCCAAGAGCTCAAGACCAGCCTGACCAAGAGTAAGACCCCGTCTCTCCTGAAAATAGAAAAAATTAGCCAGGCGTCGTGGCGAGCACCTGTAGTCCCAGCTACCTGGGAGGCTGAGGCAGGAGGATCGCTTGAGCCCAGGAGTTGGAGCAAGGGCAGAGGCTAGGCAACTGTCATTTGAACACCTCGCTCTTCACCCATTGCCCAGATGGAGCAGGCCAATCACAGGAGCTGACGGGACCTACACACTCTATTCTGGAAAGAAGTCTTTAAATATCCTCTCCGGGCCGGGCGCGGTGGCTCACACCGGTAATCCTAGCACTCTGGGAGGCTGAGGCGGGAGGATTGCTTGAGGTCAGGAGTTCGAAACCAGCCTGAGCAAGAGCGAGACCCCGTCTCTACTAAATACAAAGAATAATGCAATATAATATAGAAAATTAGCTGCATGGTGGCGCATGCCGTTATCCAGCTACCAGGGGCCTGAGGGCAGGAGGATCGCTTGAGCCAGGAGTTGGAGGTTGCTGTGACTAGGCTGATGCCACGCACTCACTCTAGCCTGGGCAAAAAGTGAGACTCTGTTCTCAAAAAAAAACACCTGGAGGCCAGATAAATGTGCTAGGCGGCCTGCAGTGCCTGCATGTGGCCCGCGGCCATAGTTTGAGGAGCCTGCTCTAGACTGAATGTGAACGCATGACGTGACCTTTTGAAAAACATCAAACGTTGTTCATTATTATGACCAGTTCAGGGACGGGGATTTGGACTGATCCAAGGGTGAGATTTTTCACGAAGTAAGAACTGCGACAATGGCCGCCCGGGGAATAGTACACAAGGTCATCTTTCAACTTCTTATTGGGAGGCCGTTATCACCGCGGCGCGGCTGCGTGTTGCGGTGGAGATGCCGCCAGGATTTTGGCAAGTCCTGGCGAGCGGCCAGGCGAAGTTACCCTGAACCTCAATACTCTCCTAAACATCTTTCTTAGCACACGCGCTTTACACCTTCTGTAAGACCTGACCTTATGCCTGAGGAGTCATTAAACCTGGCCCCATGATAAAGAAGCGAGTATTTTTAAAATTGATGGGAGAGTGAAATCTGATCTACACCCCTGGTTTCAGTGATTGAGCGCCTGATCTGCAGTCTCAGACGGAGCCTCGGGGAGGCCCTCCTCCCCTGCCTCAACAGGAAATCTGAGCTAAAACGATGCAACCTCGTTGCTTATGACTATTTGATCTCTTAAAATTTCTGAACCAAGGTTGAGAACAATTTAAAAAATTGAAAAAGTATAAAACTTGAACCAGGCAGTGAGCAACAATAACCACTAATGGCATGTGTGCTAACTACTGGAGTTTCATTTTTCTTTTTCTCTTGCTTTTCCTGAATCTCCACGCTGATACAGGATTTGTCTGCCTTCAGAACCCTTCCACGACCTCCAAGCCCTCCACGGCCTCACGAGCCCATCAAACCCTCACGAGCTCACGACACCTCCACGACCCTCCGACGACCCTCCACAGCCTCCCGAGCCTTCCACGACCCTCCACGAACCTCCCACGACCTTCACGAGCCCCCACGAGCCTACACGACCCTCCACGAGCCCTCCAGACTCCACGAACCTCACAGCCCTCCAGAACCTCCACGACCTCCACGCCCCCACAAGCCCCTCCACGAGCCTCAATGGCCCTCACGAGCCCTCCAGACCTCCCAGAGCCCTTCCACGACCTCCCGCCACAATCCACGAGCCTCCACGAGCCTCCACGAGCCCCTCCGAAACTCCACGACCCTCCACGAACCCTCAACGAGCCCCTCCACGAGCCTCCACGAGCCTTTCCAGAGCCTCGCACAGGCCCTCCACGAGCCTCCACGAGCCCTTCCACGAGCCCCTCCAGACTCCACGAGCCTCACGAGCCTTCCACGAACCATCCACGGAGCTCCACGAGCCCTCCCGAGCCTTACACGAGCCCTCCACGCCTCCCGAGCCCTCCACGACCTCACGACCCTCCACGACCCTCCACGACCCTCCACGACCCCTCCACGAGCCTCACGGCCCCATCGATGCTCCACGAGCCCCTCCACGAGCCCCTCCACGAGCCCCTCCACGAGCCCTCCACGAGCCCTCACGAGCCCCGTCCACGACCTCACGCCTCCACGAGCCTCCACGAGCCTCCACGAGCCCTCACGACCCCTCCACAAACCTCCACGAGCCCCTCACGGCCCCTCCACAAACCCTCCACGAGCCTCCACGAGCCCTCCACGAGCCTCCACGACCCTCCACGAGCTCCACGAGCCCCTCACAAACCCTCCACGCGTCCACGAGCCCTACACGAGCCCCACGAGCCCCTCCACAACCCCTCCACGAGCCCTCAAACCTCCACCCCTCCACCAGCCCTCACGCGAGCCTCCACGAGCTCTTCACGAGCCTCCACGCCCTCCACGAGCCTTCCACGAGCCCCTCCACGAGCCCTCCACGAGCCCTCCAGGAGCCCTCCAGCCACAGCCAGTTGTTATCTGACTATTGATGACAGTCACTGCCCACGGTGCAGCCCTGTTCATGATAGTTTAGTCTTGCTCCTCTTTTATTTCTATTTATCTATTTTCGAGACAACGTCTTACTCTGCTGCCTGGGCTGGAGTGCAGTGGCGTCATCACAGCTCACTGGAGCTGGAGGCTCCACGAGTCGCTTCATTGTGGCCTTAACCTCCTGGTCTCAAGTGATCGTCCTGCCTCGGCCTCCCAAAGTGCTGGGATTACAGGCGGGAGCCACGGCGCCCGGCCTCTTGCCTGTCTTATAAAAAAGGGTTTTAATTGACAGATAATAATTGTATATATTTGTGAGATACAATGTAATGTTTTAATATATATTTGCATTGTGGAACCATTGAATCAAGGTAATTAACGGATCCCTTACTTCACAAACTTTGTGTTTTTTGTGGTGAGAACATTCTTTTAGCAATTTTAAAATATACAACGTATCATTGTCAACGACCTTTTGGGCCTTCCTTCTTCTGTCTAACTGGAACTGTGGACCCTTGACAAAGGGTCCCATTGGTCACCTCACAGATCCTGACCCCGAGGCCCGGCTCGGTCTTGGCCGTGGGGAGCTGCTCTGCCCGGCCAGCGTCCCACCAGGAGGCTCGTTTGTCCTCGTCCCTGGGGCTGGCGTGCCAGCCTGTCCTGCAGAGGAAACGAGGAAACGGCGTGGGTGTCAGCCTGGCCCTCCTGTCTGCAGGGGACAGTTCTGCCCACCAGAGGCCGGAAGGAGGCCTGGCCAGCCATGCCCCTGCTGCTGAGCCGCTGAGCCACTGGCCTGGGTCCCACGGTGGAGGTGGCCTTGTGAAGGGCTCCGACCCCCCAGCTGTGGGCTGAGAGCCGCCCCCGCCCCAGGAGCCGCAGGGAGACAAGCCTGTGCGTGACCCCCGCTTTCTTTTTCGTCTTATTTTTCATCGTGGCAAAATGCACATAGAAGGTGCCGTCGGGGACCTTTGGCCCACTTGCGACCTTAGGTAACGGTCACTGCTGCACAGCAACAGAACAGTCTCGTCGCCCCAAAAGCAAGCCGCCCGCTGGTCCGCGGTCATCCCCTGGCCCCGGGAACCACCCACCTGCCCCCCTGGATCCGCCAGCCCGGACTTGTGCACAGGAGCAGAACCACCCAGCCTGCGCCTTCGCTCTCCCGCTGCCCCGACTGCGCACAGCGTTTCCTAGCGCCCGCCCGGACCTGCGTGTCTTAGGGCTCCTCAGAGGCCTTTGTGATCTGGCAGGCACGGTGACCTGCCTGGGTCGGGAAGGTCCCGCCGGCCCACGCTGGGACGGCTCGGGCAGTGACCGGCCAGCCAGGAGGGGGCCCCGGGGAGCTGCTTGGTCCAAGGTCTGATTTGGGGCCCAGGCTCCATAAGCAGCAGAGTCATCTGGGCTGTTCAGTGCCTCATCTCACCCTGAATGATTGATCTTTACGTTAACAAAATAATTTTGACAAAATATGGTTGATTTAGGGGGGAAAAAAAGCAAAAAAGCTAACTCCTGGCGTTTTTTTGTGCTATTTTTGCCTAGGAGTCCTTAAACGCGTGATAATAATCTTGTTCTCATATTTAAATAAATGCACAGCGTCACTGCAGTAAAGCATTTCCAAATACGGGTACGAGGCTTGGTGGCATCTTTCAAGAGACCTGAGCGAGTGAACCGGTGACATGGTGTGATTTAATCGCGACGGGGCGCGCTGTGTTGCCAGAGGTGCTGTTTTTGCACACACAGCCACGCCACTGGTCCCAGGGACCCCGGGACTCGGACTATTGCTTTCTCTGGGACAGGAACCCTAGGTTTAAAAAAACCTCACGTCACTTTCTCTTGGTTTTACTTTTCACCACCTGGGACCGCTGCTTGCTCGTCAGTTTCTGCAGCTCCTGGATTATCCTCTTGACGTTCAGTCCGTTCCTGGAGGCGCCAAGGGTCGCCTCGTTGAAAGGAAAAACGAGGACGAAGTTGCCTGCCTGGGGGTCCGGGAGCACGCGGGGAGAGGTCTCGGTCTGGCAGGTGCGCGCCGGCGCGAGGGACAGGTAGGGCGCGAACTCCGCGGGCGGCGGCTGCCTGCTCTGCGGCCTGGGCTTGGCTGCGGGCGGCCCCGCCGTGTGCGGGCGAGGACGCGGCCCCTGCGCCGAGGATGCGCGCGCGCCCTCGGTACCCGGCCGCCCGGCCTTCCCCGGCGCGCAGCCGCCGGCGCTGTGCGGCCTCTCCACCTGCAGCGGAGACTCGCAGGGAGGAGGGCCGTCGCAGGCCACGCCCAGCCCGCCCGCGTCACCCTCCGCACTGGGCGCACCGGTCGCCCCCTCCGCCGCCCCCTCCGCCGCCCCCGCCGCCGCCCCGCCGCCTTCCTCCTCCGCGTCCCGCAGCCCGTTCACGCAGACCAGCTCGATGATGTCGTGGACGAGCTTCCTCTTCACGGACACGTCCGCCGAGCAGTCCAGGGACAGCGCCGGGCTGTAGTTGACCTCCAGGAGCCACGGCTTCAGCGTGTCGTCCAGCAGAATGTCGAAGCCGAAGAGCTCGAAGCAGTTGGCGGCGGAGGGCACGGAGGGCGCGATGGCCAGGACCGTGAGGATGACCACGCAGTGGATCTTCTGCCACAGCAGCAGGTCGTCCACGTCCCCGCTGCGCAGGTAGGAGAAGAACCTGCTGAGCGTCCACTTGCAGCCGTGGCCGACCACCTCCTTGACCTTGCCGTAGGAGGGCCCGGACCTGTTGATGCTGCAGTTGGTCAGGTGGGCGTAGTCGTTCTCCAGGTGGCCCAGGTCGAACTTCTCGGTGGCGAAGCGCACCAGGCCCTCTTGGTAGACGTAGATGGTCAGCGGCCGGAAGCCGGTGACGCACACGTAGATGCGCAGGTCGCACTTGTACCTGCCGACCAGCAGCGGGTTGCAGATGTACTTCTGCACCACGCAGGCGCGGTTCAAGGTGAGGTCCTTGAGCTCGCGGAAGATGACGATGCCGCGGCCGCGGGACAGGGCGGCCGGCTTGCCGATCCAGCAGCCGTGCCGGCCGCCCTGCGCCTGCTGCTCGCGGAAGTACTCGGCCACGAACTTGGCGTAGTCGGCGGGCAGCACGAAGGTCAGGGGGCTGAAGGCGTAGAGCGAGGGCCCGTACAGCCGCCGCATGTAGGTGAGGTGCCTGGCCAGGTGGTCCTTCCTGGTGAGCTGGGTGGTCCCCGGGTGGTGGTTCAGCCGCTGCCAGGGCTTCAGGTTGGCGTGCTGCGCCATGTGGAACGCGGGCGTCCTCCAGTAGAGGTTCCAGCCCTCCGCGCTCTGCTGGCGCGCGTCGAAGCGGTCCCAGCCGCGCTCCAGGAGGACGCTCTGCACCACCGCGGGGGTGGTGTTGTCCACGCGGAACACCAGGGGCTTCAGCGCGGCCCCCGCCCGCTCCTCTTCCGCCGTCAAATAAGGCCTTCGTTCCTAAAGATTGGAAATCAAGAACAGAGGAGTTGGCCGGGGCGGCGGCTCACGCCTGTCATCCCAGCACTCTGGGAGGCGAGGCGGGAGGATCTGCTAGACGGTAGGAGATCTAAACCAGACTGAGCAAGAAGAGGGAGCCTGTCCCTACTTAAATGAGAAAGAAATTAAGTGGCCAACTAAAAAAATATAGAAAAAAAATTAGCCGGCATGGTGGCGCAGCCTGTAGTCCCAGCTACTCGGAGGCTGAGCATGGAGGATCCCTTGAGCCTGGAGTTTGATGGTCGCTGTGAGTGGCCTGCGCCTGGAACTAGAGTGGACCGATACTCCAAAAAAAAAAAAAAAAAAACACAGGAGTGTCGAAGAATCATAATCAAGTAGGTATTCATATTAAAGAGCTGGCACTCGCCGCCGGCTGTCCGTGCTTCCCTGCGGTCACACTGTCTGGCTAGATGCCCACCTGTCCTCACAGCAGGCCCACTGCTGCTACCTCTGCAAGAACAGCTCCGCTCTTCCGCCCACGCCTTTCCTCCGTGCTCGGAGCTACTCGCATGTTACCTTCTTTTAGTGAGTGTTTAAACATGTTTTGCGATTCACACACCAAAACCTCCGCAACTAAGGGGCACCTGTAGACCTGCAGGCTCTGTAAACCCTGTTGCCCCATAAAGTGAGCATTATTAAGAGCGAAAAAGGAAATGTTAATTTTTTGTAGTATTAAATTGAGTATGTTAAAAGAAGCTTGACATGATGATATTACATGATCAGTAGAGTTCATCATGCCGGAGAAGTTAAAGAAAACAGGCCAGATGACTAGGGTGGCTCTCCAAGTGTCCCTCTGACCACGCCGGCCCCCTGGAGCCTGCCGGTGGGCAGAGGCCCGGGGCAGTCAGATGAGTGGTTAGTTTGTGAGAAAAGTGGTGAGAAGAGAATTGAATTCGTAACACCCATTTTGCGAAAACAATAATGTGAACTATCAGCCTTACATTTGAGAATAAACAGAAATGAAGATTGTATCATTCTGCTGAACTTCACAGAAGGAAACAGGATTTGAGATTGGTAACTGAACTTGGTAACTGTTATGGAAGCACGATGGTTCAGCAGGGACCTACTTGGTTGAAAATGTGGGCATTTGATGAGACAGATGTGCAACATCAAGAATTCCAAGTTAAGCCATTTCGTTTAGTGTTGTCCTGACCAATTTATCACATAATTATATGAACAAGTTACTGGTGGAAATCTGTAGTGTTTGAGAGTTCTGATCGAGGCGGAAAAAGATGATTTTGACAGATGCGTATTTTCAGTGATGCTTTTATAAAGGAGAATAAGAGGAGGATGGAGAGAGAGGTAGAGAGAAAAGGAAGAAGATGGAAGGAGAGTGGGGAGGAGGCAAAGGGAAAAGAGAGTGGAAGGAGAAGAAAGAAATGGAAGAAGAGGAGAGGAAGGAAGAAGAGAGGAAGAAGAAGAAGGAGGAGGAGACAGGAAGAGGAGGGAGGAAGAGAAGAGAAAGAGGAAGGGAGGAGGGAGACGGACAGAAGAGGAAGGGAACGAGGAAGGAAGAAGGGAAGGAAGAGAGGGAGGAGGAGAAGGAGGAGGGAAGGAGAAGGATGAGGAGAGAGGGAGGAAGGAAGAGAGGAGGAAGGGAGGGAAAGGAGGAAGGGAGAGAGGAAGAAAGAGGAAGAGAGAGGAGGGAGGAGGATGGGAAGGAAGGGACAGTAGGGAAGGATGAAAGGGAGGAGGGAAGGAAGGTAGGGAGGTGGGAAGGAAGGAAGGAGAGAGAAGGAAGGAAGAAGATAGAAGGAAGAAGGAAGGAAGTGGAGGGAAGGAAGGGGTAGGAAAAAAGGAAAGGAAGGAAGGAGGGAAGAAGAAGGAAGGAGAGGAAAGAGAAGGAGGTACGGAAGAAGGGAGAGGAGGAGAGAGGAAGGAACGGGAGTGGGAGAGGAAGGAAGGTGGGAAGGAAGAAAGGATGGAGGAAGAGGAAGAGGAGGGGGGAAGAGGAGGGATGGAAGGAGAGGAAGGAGGAAGAAGAGGAGAGAGGAGGGAGAGAGAGGAGAGGGAGGGAGGAGAGGAAGTAGAGGAAGGGATCATCTTCGGCTACCCACCTTTTTCTCCATCTTTGAAACTGGGAGAGTCCTGGGTGTTGGTGGAGACAACTCGCTTCCGGGTTATGGTGTCCCTACCTCCGGAGCCGGCTGCTGGGAGGTCTGCCGCTGTGGTGACGCTCGAGGGCCCAGGTAGCGCGCCTGCGCCAGTCGTGAAACACAGCAGGTCCGCAGGTAGAGTGGTGCGTTCCCCACGCCCTCGCCTCTGCGGGACGGCAGAACGTAGACCTGGCGCAGTCATTAAAACCCATCGGTCGAATTTGCAGGGATTTTTCACACTGTGTCCGGTGGTCTCAACGGAGTATTCCAAGCAAGTGTATAGCGTGTGTGAGGGTGTGCTGTTCGTGTTGTATGTTGGTGTGTGTGGTGTGGCATGTATGTGGTATGTGTGTTTGTGTTGTGGTGTATGTGTGGTGTATTCTATATTGTGGCATGGTGGCGCATGCCTTATCCAGCTACTCGGTGAGGCTGGAGGCAGGAGGGTCATTGGAGCCCAGGAGTTTTGGGTTGCTGTGAGCTAGGCTGACGCCACGGCACTCACTCGTAGGCCTGGGGCAACAAGTGAGACTCTGTCTCAAAAAAAAAAAAAGAAAAAATATCAGTATACTATATATATATCCTCTCCGAATTTAACAGAAAACCTTCCTTGGAAGCTGTAGCTTCTCAGCCTCTCTGGGCGTCACCCTGACCTGTCCATGACTGAGGTAGGTTCCAGGTGTCATTTTTAATTCAAATATATAAACCAAACTGTGACTCAAAAACAATAGAGATACAGAGCGTTATATTAGTAACATCATGTCTCCAACCTTGCACTTCCCAAATGCTTCCTCCTTCTCCAGGCGTGCGGCTTGCCAGGAGGCGGTGTTGGGGGGCTGGTAGGTGGGTCAGAGGGGTGGGCTGCAGGAGGGGTGGGGCTGCAGGGGGGGTGGGCTCGGAGGGGGGCTGCAGGAGGGGTGTGGGGGCTGCAGGAGTGGGGGCTGCAAGAGGGCCTTGGGGTAGGTAGGCTGGGTGGGGCTGTAGGAGGGGTCTGGGGGCGCAAGAGGGGTCTGGCTGTAGGAGTATGTGGGGGGCTGTAGGAAGGGGTCTGGGGCTGCAAGAGGGGTGTGGGGGCTGTAGGAGGGTGTAGGGGGCTGCAGGAGGGTCTGGGGTGCTTCCAGGAGGGGTCTGGGGCTGTAGAGGGTCTGGGCTGTAGGAGGGTGGGGGCTGTGGAGGGTGGTGGGGCTTTAGGAGGTCTGGGGGCTGTAGGAAGGGTGTTGGGGGCTGTAGGAGGGGTCTGGGGCTGCAGGGAGGGTCTGGGGGGCTGTAGAGGGGTGTCGGGGGTGCTGCAGGAGGTCTGGGGGCTGTAGAGGTGTGGGGCGGTGCAGGAGGGGTCTGGGTGGCTGCAGGAGGGGTCCGGGGGCTGTAGGAGGGTGTGGGGCTGCAGGAGGGGTCTGGGGGCTGCGAGGGTGTGGTGGGGCTGCAGAGGGGTCTGGGGCTGCAGGAGGTTGGGAGGCTGTAGGAGAGGTCTTGGGGCTGGCCATGGAGGTTAGTCTTGGCTGGTAGGAGGGTGGGGGCTGTAGAGGGGTCTGGCTGCAGGAAGGTCGGTGCTGCAATACGGGTCTTGGGGCTGCAAGGAGGGTTCTGGGGCAGCAGGAGGGGTCTGGTGGGCTGCAGGAAGTGGGAGGCTGCAGGAGGGTCTGGGGCTGCAGGAGCTCCGGGAGGCTGGCAGGAGGTCTGGGGGCTGCAGGTGTTGGACGTGCCATGAGAAATGTCACCCACTGGAAACTCTACCATCAGAATCCTTATCTGGAAGGAAAATAGCCAGCCACCATCTAAATCCTGAACCACCGTAACTCAACTCGGTAAAAACCTAGAAAATAAAAACTACGGGAACCTCCCTCGTGCTGGACACACAGGTTTCTCAGCACGCAGGGCTCCTCTGTCTCTCGCTGGCTTTCACTCAGCGACTTAATCAGAGTGCACTGGCATCTGAGGAGCGGTGGACTGCCGACTCTTTAGAAGCCACGGTCTGGGCATTGCTGGGCCGTCACGGTAATTGGCAGGGGTACGTGAGTCTTGGGTCTGGCTCACCCCAGACACAGACTTCCTGGTCTAGGAAGGGGGACGGGGCACCTTCCTCACACCCTGATGACATTCCTGGGGCACATGGGTCCCGCGGGAAGGACGGGGCCCAAGAAGGATGTGTTCCGTCACTGTGGGCATCCAACTGCTGGGCAGGGCCAAGGAGGAGGCTGGCCCGGAGACCCGCAGCCTCTGCAGCCAGCAACTCCGGTCTAAACTTGCTCCTTCCCAAACAGGAGCTTGGAAAAGAACTGGATGGCCTGCGACGTGGCTTATTTTTTTATTTTATTTATTTTATTGACAGAGACTCACTTTGTTGCCCAGGCTAGATGAGTGCCGTGGCGTCAGCCTAGCTCACAGCAACCTCAGACTCCTGGGCGTCAAGCTGATCCTCCTGCCTCAGCCTCCCAATAGCTGGGACTACAGTCATGCGCCACCATGCCTGGCTGATTCTTTTTTATAATATATTAGTTCCAATTATTTCTTTCTTGTATTATGAGGTAGAGATGGGGTACGACTCTTGATCAGGGCTGGTTTCGAACTCCTGGACCTCAAGCAATCTGCCTGCTCGGCCTCCAGTAGTGGTGTTGTGTTGTTTTGAGGACAATCTCACTCTGTTTGCCGCGAGGGAGCTGCTGTGGCATCAGCCTAGCCTCACAGCAACTCGTCAACTCCTGGGCTCAAGCGATCCTCCTGGCCTCAGTCTCCCGAGTAAGGCTGGGACTACAGGCATGCGCCACCATGCCTGGCTAATTTTTTTATCTCTCTCTTT